ATTGTTTCTGGAAGCACACTATCAACCTCCATCTCAGCTAACACACGAACATACAAACCCTTTTCTCGACTTTCTCGACAATTTTTGAAATGGATGTTCCACTACGTGTATGCACTGGCAGATCACACACCTTCATCCATATTAGAACTGTGGCTAATATATCTCTTTCAAGTTGGATACTCTTATGCCATTTCTTGATAATTATAGCACGCCCCTGGAATGTTTGAAATCTCGATAATACATTCATCAAATCCTCTTCAGATGGGAATCGAACCTGGAAAAATCCATCTTTCAATGAAACCACCACAACATCCTTATGCCATCTCTTCTGCACGTAAGCTTTAAAATATGGAAAGTAGGGTTTACTACCAAGAACATAGCAAACCACTGAGTTCTTCCAATACCTCAATTCGTCAACAATGTCTACATCTTTAATTATGACAATATCCTTACCACGGCTTTCATTGTAATATGTCAATGGTGTGAATCCCGTAGTAGTCGAATTCATTAGCGATGAACTCCATGATAAACGATTTGCTAGGGGGGAAGTACTACAGGTGTAACAGTACCCGCCGGAGAAGAGGGTTGCCCCTCCTCCAACATCACATCATTATACCCCCGATAACATAGAAACCCTAAAAACAGTAAATCGCCCACTGTAGAGAGAAAAAGGGTAAAATAGTAACTCCTTATACGTATAAGAGAGAATTTAAATTAATTTACGTCTCCTAATGTATTCAATTTTTGTATTCAATACTTAGACCTAGTTAAATTTTTATAAAGCATTGTAATTGAGGCATTATGAGCCCAAACTTCCAACCATATTCTTTTGGTATCAATTTGATGTAAGCTTGAGTTTTGTAATGACAACTAATGTAAGAATGAACCATGTTGCTATTTTGCATTGAGTTGAATGTTTAAAGATTCATATAATGCCTCTATTAATGTTTAATGCAAAAGAATGGCTATTTATACATGTTGTTAGTTGGGACAGGGCATCGAAGGTCAAAATGACCAAGAAGAGGTTCAAAATTAGCTTCAAGGGCAAAAAGAGGCAAGAGCCCCATTTTCTGGGCAGCAACAAAGGCTCGACTTGGGTGGACGAGCACTCACCCAGCATTGAGGCATGCAACAGCATGTGCGCGGGGGCACCTGGCATGTCCCACGAGCACTCGAAGAGGGCGGATGAGTGCTCGTTATTGGATCCCACCTAATTTTTTTTTACCATCTTTGATCCTTCTGAGCTTCACCGTTTGGGTCCTACTTGACCTATAGGATGCACATAACACCATGGCCGCGTCCGGATGTGAGTTAGTTGACCCAAAATGTCATTTTTACCCTTTTTAGCCTTAAAATCGGTAACTTTGAACCAATTTATTTTTCCTACCTTTTCAATTGACCCAAAATGTTTATATATGACTTAGAAGGCAGTTATAAGGTCCCCAATGCACTGCACGGTCTAAAAGACAGAATTACCCCTTTTACCATAATTGGACCATTTTAAGGATTAAGTCTATTCTTTCAACCGCAAGTGGACCAAATTGATCAGCAATGAGTATTATGACATTATTATGTCCTATAGTATACTTTAATGGTCAAAAATACCATTTTACCCTTGGATGGTTCCGGGTCGAGTCAGGACCCGGTTAGTGTTTCGGACCCCGGGTTTAGGTCATTACAGTGTAGGATCCTCAGACAAGTCAGATCATTGGGACCAGGTGTAAGATTGGATGATTATTTGAACTATTCTCTCTATATCTTCTAACTCCTACTATCTTTGTTGTGTCTGCTCAGTCCACTTCATCGTATCTCGAACTATTGCACTCTCATTTAGGTCATGCCTCTTCTTTATCTCATCTCAAAACCTTAGTATATTTGGGATTTCTAGGTAAATTTAACAAATAGTCTTTTAATTATATTTCTGGTTAATTAGGCAAGCATTATGCATTATTATTGAATAAAAATGATGATAAACCAAGAGGAGAGGGGAGGGGTGAATTAGTTTTTGTATAAACTTTTCTTCTTTGTATAATCAATGTAATATGATGAGTATGATAATAGATTCAACAAGCTTCCACACACACTTACAAGACTCAGTGTATTTACAAGGAAAACCCTCTTAATAAGAAAAAACTTTAGTTTTTGGCCTCAGCTAATAAAATCTCCACTATTTGCATGCAAGTAGTTACACACTCAACTGTCTCACTCTCTACACACACACTTGTATAAGATGAAACACTAACTTTCACCGTCTCTACACACACACTAGCAACATTAAGTACACACTGCACTCCCCTTGTGCACATCACCCTTGCTTGGACCAAATGAGCACTCACAGCTCACAACCAATACATAAAAAGGTTTACAAACAATAATACTTTAAGTTATAATAGAAGATCAGAGTGAGAAACAAGCTTAAAGTATCATCACAGGCACCTTGTCTTCATTCTGTTGAAACTAGGGTTTGAGGGGTAAAATTGGAATTTCATGTCCCATAAACTCAGAGATGGAATCCACTTCCTTATATCTTCATTACAATCATGCTCAAATGATAATCAAGATGAATATAGCATGTGTATACAAATACTACTCAACAACAGGCTCAATTATGTAGAAACTTCAAAACTAGGGTTTCACATGGTCAAAAACTACATTAACCTTAATACTGTGCAAACCTCAACCTTAACACCCTTGATTCAGCATATATAAAAACTTGCTCAGATGATAATAATACAACTCACAGAAAGATATAGTGATAATAAGTTCAAATCAACAAGCTAGACCAGAAATATAAGCTGATACACAAGGTCTGAGACATCAAAATCAAATGGAGTTAAAAAATGATCATAAACATGCTTTCTGCAGATGTAAAATGTGAAGTTACACTTGCCTCAACCTTATACAGTCACCACAACAAGTTCAAACCAAACTTAGACCTCCAACATCACAGCTACAGGCCTCCATTTGATCATCTACACTTATGAATTCTCTGATTGGACTTCTGAACTTAAATCAAACTTTCATCATTACATACAATCTCATAAAAGTGTATTCATATTCAGCTCTCAATTCACTCTCATTGCAACTCACTTTTAGGGTTCACTCAAAGGCATAAACCCTATAATGTCTATAGCAGCATATATATGGTACTTCATCAATACAAATCCTATCTCAAAGACGAAATGTATGTGTTACCATTATCTAATCATTTTGTCACAGAATAATCTGTAATTCTCGTGTAAATGTACCATTATACCCCTGCCACCTTTATAGAAAATATCTTCAATATGCATGCTCATTGACGTACAACCTTATGAATGTATATGTATATGAATGTTTCACAAGCTTAATCACTAAGCGAAGAATGGCAGCCTGCATATTCTCATACCAGGACCACAGCATACATGTCACAAGAGTTCTCAACAATTATGCATTGACCAAAATGCCCTTACAGTGACATTGTCAATATATATAACCTTCTATAGCTAAAACTGTGATCACTTCATCAACCTATGAATTAAAGCAATTCAACACAATGTACCATCATACGCAAATGTATTATGTTATAATACTTGTGTGAAAAGACCTAATTGCCCCTGAAAAGCTCTATATCAACATATCACTATTTGTGCTAGTGTTTTTAACCTTAAGATGCCTGCATTAAGAGTCTTCAAGGCAATGTACCTTCCTTAGATCATTTGGATAGACTTCTCAACATTATGAAATGACCAAGCTACCCCTATGGTTCAATTGAATGCATTATTCAAGCCAGAAACACTTGGAACTCAATGTAGATAACCTGTGATGGACTTTTTGACATTTAAAATGGCAAACCCTAATTCAAAGGTGGGACCAACAAATGAGTCTTTTACTTTTCCTCCATTTGAACTTATTCATTCTAATGAATGGCCGCCATCTACTATGCCTATAATAGGGGGGTCACTGTACTTTGTCATAATCCTTAACAAAAAATCATTCTGAGTTGCTTAACATATATTGTGATTTTGCTAAAAGGAGTTCTACTCAATTTTCCAAAAACATCAAAATATTTCGTTCTAATAATGCCATGAAATATCGACCAGATGATTTTTTTCCAAATACTCAAATAGTATAGCTCTCTCGAAAAATAACAAAATATTTCGTTCTGATAATGCCATGAAATATCGACCGATCATTTTCCCGAATATTAATCTTCAAGATCAGCAGAAGCAGTCGATCCTTCTTCGACCAAGTCCTAGTCATTTGGCCCATCTGAGCTAACTAACAATACATCTACTTCAGATTTTCACCGTTCCACTCGAGTAAGAGCTCTACCATCACATCTTAGTATTTTTAATTGCTATTATACTCTTGTAACCTTACATTAACCTTATACCTTTCACAAGGCAACCCTTAATCCTTTGTGGTGGCAATTAATGAAAGAAGAGTTAGATGCACTTACCAAAACACAAAACTTGGGATCTATTTGACTTGCCTCTAGGAATTTCATCCTCTTAATAAGGTGTGCAGACTCTGTCGTGCCTTATATGGACTCAAACAGGAAGCTTGTGCTTGGTTTGCCAAGTTTAGCTCCATCATTTCTTATCTTAATTACTCCTTAAGCTCTTATGACTTTACTCTATTCCTCTTCAAGCTCTTATGACTTTAATATATTCATTCGGCACACTGACCGTGGCATCATTCTTATCCTACTTTATGTTGATGATATAATTGTCACGGGAGTTGATTTGCAGGGTATTTAGGAGCCTAAATTGTTTCTTAGTAATTAGTTTGAAATGAAAGACCTTGGACCCCTCAGCTATTTCATTGGTCTAGAAATCAGTGCAGTTTCTAATGGCTATTATCTCACCTAGGCAAAATACTCTTCATATTTTCTTTCTCGAGTTGGGATAACTGATTGTAAAATTACAAATACTCCTCATGAGTTCATCACAAGGCTCACTCAACATGATGGCGAACTTCTTCACTATAGTACTATGTATCAACAATTGGTTGGCAGCTTAGTATATCTCATTATCACTCATCCAGACATCTCTCATGCTGTCCACATCGTTAGTCAGTTCATGGGTGCACCGTGATCTACTCTTTTTGCAGTAGTATTTTTCATTCTTGATTATCTCAGAGGCACTATATGTTTCATGGACTTTATTTCTCTTCAAAATCACTACTTGTACTTTGTGCCAACACTGATGCAGAATGGGAAAGTGACCCCACAGATCGTCATTCCATTGCAATTTTTTTTCTTCTTACATAAAGATTCTCTCATATATTGGCGTAGCAAAAAAATAAAAATAAAAATTGTGGTTGCTCAATCTAGCAAAAAAACTGAGTACAGGGCACTTGTCAATACTACCTTTTAGCTACTATAGTTGCGTTTTCTCCTTCAGGACATGGGAGTTTCCTCTTATGCCATTCTTATTTACTGCATGTGATAATAGGAGTGCAACTCAGATAACACATAATGATGTATTTCACGAGAGCACTAGACACATTGAGATTGATTGTCACTTTGTTCGTCATCATCTCCTTCAAGATACCTTGCAGTTGCAGTCTATTACCTTTAAAGATCAGTTGGCAAATATCTTCACTAAATCTCATTCACCGGGCTATTTTCATGATCTTGTCTCCAAACTCAAGCTAGCTTCATAAAGCGCACCCTGAGTTTGAGTGGGGCTGTTATAATACATAGTATATATACATAGGTGAGTATACACATATTTATAGTATACTTATATAAATATATATATATATATATACACACACACACACACACACACACGTTCCAAGTTTGTAATCCTATATATATGCCTTTTGTATAGTTCTAAAGACAGATTCAATATATATATTCAATACATATTGTTTCATCACTCTACAAGTTCTAACACTTCTTAATTTTGGTCACATAGATCTCAATTGGTAGATTTTATTTCTTTGGACTTCAATTTAAAAGTCAGACTTACCTCATTCACCATATCCATGAGTCTATACCCAATGAAGTCAAACGACAGGCCTATTGAGAGCTGAGAATAATGGATATCATCCAGACAACCTGGCAGGATCAGTACTATCATCCCTCCAGCTACAATCTCTTTAGCTCTGGCACTTAGAAAGATGTTCATGTCTTTTATAAATTGAGCTGCAAAATCATTACCTACTTCCTCTGAGGCACTTGTGTAGTGAATTCTTCCATTGTTCCATGCCTCTGAGTTCTTATCCAGCAACTCTTCAGGCAACTTAGAGAGCCAATGGAGTGCACAAGAGGAATACACAAAATGGAGAGAGAACTCGGGGAATAAATGGCCATAGAAAGAACCAGGCACTCCAGCAGCAAAGTATTGCCTATCATGAGGGAGGGAGGCAAAAAGGGTATTGAAATCATTGGTAGCATGATTGTTGAAGAAAACATCGAATTCAGGCACTTTAGAAGCAAGTCCTTGAGAAAGATATTTCCTTTCCATGGCGTCAAGCACACTTTGCATGGCAATGAAGGTATTTGGCCCAACTAAACATCCCAAATCTTCTATGCGCAATGTGTTTGAATTAGAAGTGAGGCTTTTTATGTCAAGCTTCTCTGCAATTGCTTCATCTATCATTTCTTTTGCAACATTTGAAACTGTTCTCTGTAAAATTGGCAAAAGATGTTACTACTTTGTTGCTATAATAATCATTGTCATTGCTATCAGATTTGGTGGTGTTGCTAAAAAAAACTTTTGCCCCCTTTCATGGCGGAGCTCATTTCTGCTCTAGTTTTTGAAATCTGCTATTGATCAAAGTTGGCGTAGGGCTCCAAAATATAACCATGATAAAAACACATTAGTAGAAAAATAAAGCAGGAATAGGCCACCATTTTGATAAGTTGACTCAAAATTAGGTTAAAATCCTTGTCAATTAACTTTAACCTCTGTTACATGCACTCTTCTGAATGTATGAAGCATTAATGTGAGAGACATGACACCTAGGTATAATATTTAATGTGTGTTTGACTTATCTGATTGTTCGCACACCTAACATGCATATCTAATGATTGATGTTTCCTATATTAATCATACACAAAACTCTTTTGTTATGTTTTCATTAATATTTGTTGTTTTAAAACAAGTGAAATACTCCTATGGGACTCTCTCTGATAAAATTTCATCTTATCCTAGGAAATAGTTGAGTAATTTAAAAAAAAAAAAAATGAATATTTAGCTGCATTCTAATATCCTTAGCTTTGTGTATCTAATGCATCTTACACACATTACCTACAACCATTTAACATGATAGAGGACCAACTGTTTTGAAAATTATTGAAATTTATATTGAGTGAACTCAAAATTGGACTCGGTCAATATGGTTGAATTGATTCTTTACTTTATCTGTTCTTCATGTTGGACAATAAAGAAGAGTAGTAGAGTATCACTAAAAACACAAAAGGAAAAAAGAACCCAAATTTCAAAATTGATACCTCAGACATCAGTTTAGTATGGATACAAAATATCCTTTTTTCTGTTTTTGGAATTTGAATACCAAGTCAAAAAATCTATAGATTATCTTCCTTGCAACTAATAGTTCACTGGTTATTTTTTTTGTTGTTTTGGAGCTGCTGCTCTATTCTTTGAGGGCTTCCCTTTTCTAGTACAGTTTTGCCTTTCTTCGATGATTTCGTTTTATTGGGGGGGAATAAAAAAAGTAACAAAAAGATTTTTACTATTTTGTTTACTTAATATTTGTAAAGTTGTGCCTCAAATTTTGTTTCGGTATGGGGTGTGTCTCAAAAAAATGGGCTTTATGTGCGATTCATGTTAGATTAAAATACAGTTGGATTAAATCCCAGACACTCTCAACCTAAATTGTTATGAGATTTCTGGTTATGCTTATGTCATTTTAATCTCCAGTAAAATGATTCAAATAGGTGACATGCATATATATATTTTTAGTTTAATTGTTTAGGAAAAGAAAATTTTAATTGAACTACTGGCAACCAGTTTGAATTAATTATCCAACAAAGTCTAATGTGCTACACTTTTTAGCAGTTTTCCTGCATGCTTCATGGATTGATCATGTTCTATAATTCTCTATGCTTAATTGATCTTCATCATCATTATTTTGTTCATCTTTTTAGATGTGTTAACACCATCAAACCCCAGAGATAGAAATAGGCTCTATCCGAATCAGGTAAATCTTTGTGTTTTATGTGGTGCCTGGTTTGGCGGTATTTCTCATAACAATATTGTAGTGCACAAATTCTTTCAACTTTGACAAATCAACGAATTCTCTACAATTACTACACCCAAAATAATAATAGAGAAAAAACAACGAACTAAAGATATTATATAAAGATGAGGAGGTATTTTGATGATATGACCGAACCTAGGATTACCTAGATTGCATACGTATCCCCCATGGAGCATGGGAATCAGGTCGAAACGTAGTTCTGGCGATGAGAATTGGATCTCTATTTTTGGGGGCTTTGTCCTTTTTTCTGTGTCTCCACTATTGAGGGTCCTAAGCCCTTTTTATAAAGGAAAAACCATAAATGATTCCTTTTAGGACTCGCATTTCTTGTCCCTTAAGAATCCGAATTACATCATACTATCCTTATAACAAGGATTTACATTATTTGGTTTCCATAAATTATAATTCTTCTTCTAATAGAACTATTACTAAAATGGGTTTAGTAATATATTCATAATTGGGCTTGGGGTCTTATCATCTCAGGCCTTCTTAATGAGTTCAGCCCATTATGCTTAGTTAACCTTGCCCAAGCTTCTTGTAGAGGCCCAATTTGAAGGTTGAATAGTCTCAGTGTTTGTAGTGGTCCCCTTATGTGCTGATGTGTCTTGTTTTAATTGGAAAGGGAGATTTTTGCCCCCACACTTTGCCCCCAATTCCCTTTAGTTTAACGTGGCAGTCATAACTAGACGGAATTAATCGTAGCTAATGAATTGTAATGGTAACTGTAGTAAACCAAAAGATAGTTAACAATTGGGACAGTATGCCCTGACGACGGTGACTTATATTTGTCTTCTTGGAAAGTACGAAGACCCAAAATCAAGGCTTCCAAAGAGGTTGTAGCTGAGGTTCCCCCATGCTCAAAGGTGACGTCTTATGTTGAGCCTTCTTCTGTTCAAGCTATTAGTGCTTTTATTTTCTTAGGTTGACGGTGATCACTCTCGGTGATTAGCTTAGATGACTAGCCTTAATGAATAATGATGGTGACCAACCTTGGTGATCATTTTTAGTGATCAGCCTGGAGATCAACCTAGTGTTTTTCTTGAGCAATTAGCTTCAACTTTCATGATTAGCATTGATGATCACACTACAACATATTAGGTGTTTACCAGCGTTTTTTAAAAAAACGCTGGTATAGGTCTAATATTACCAGCGCTCTCTTTAGAAGCGCTGGTATAGGTGTAATGATACCAGCGCTTTTTATAGGAGCGCTGGTATACGTGTAACAGTACCAGCGCTTTTGTAGGAGCACTGGTATAGGTCTAAATATTACTAGCGCTTCTATTAGAAGCGCTGGTATAGGTGTAATGGTAATAGTACCAACGCTTTTTGTAGGAGCGTTGGTATAGGTCTAAATATTACTAGCGCTCCTATTAGGAGCGCTGGTATAGGTGTAATATCAGCACTTTTTTTAGAAGTGTTGGTATAGGTGTAATGGTAATAGTACCAGTGCTTTTTGAAGGAGCGCTGGTATATGTGTAATACCAGCGCTTCTTTTCGGAGCGCTGGTATAGGTGTCCCCATTTTTTCCCTTCCCTCCATTTTTTTCCCTTCCCTCCATTTTTTCCCTCCATTGATTTTATATATAGAGAATATTTGGGCCCTAAAATTATGTCATTTTGTGGGGAATTAACATTGCATTCTCTACTTTCCCATTTCATTTTGCAAAGCCCTAATCCTTTCATTTTGCAATAGCCCTAATCCTTCAGCCATTCTCCACTTCCCATTCCTATTCTAGACATCATCTAGCCGTCATCTAGCTGGGAATACGGAAACAACAATTCGGAGGAAACAGCCAAAGCAGATTTTGAAGCAATTCAGCTTCGAGTGCGTAGGAGAAGAAGTGCCGTCATCTAGCCGGGAATACGGAAATAACCAAAGCAGTAAACAAGATCCTCCTAATTTCACGTGAAGGGGAAGAAGTGCTTCGAGTGCGTAGGGGAAGAAGTGCTTCGAGTGGGTTTGATTTGAGATCAGGTGGGTTTGATTTCACGTGACAACGCATCCTCCTAATTTCAATGATTCTGCAACCACTATTTGATCTCATTATGTACTTAAGATTGTTGTTTTTAATTTTTTTTTCTTTGTACAGGAGGAAATAATCGATCTTAGCTTGGATTGTTAGAACAAGTTTTGTCTGATTTCGTTTTTTAGGTAATTTCTTTCTTTTTTTTTTTTTTTTTTTTTTTATGTTCCAACAATGAGAAACTTTAACTCTTAAACTTTAGCTTGGATTGGCATCGGCTGCTTTTCTTCTCTGTTCTTCTTAGTTTCCCTTGTTCTCTATTTTCTGTAGGGGTCGAAGTTGTGGTCACTGTCTCAATCGTCTTAGTCGTAGTTGCTTGATAAATTAACATGGCACCATTCAATCCCCACATTCTTCGTTGAAGAATTGTATCAATAATTATCCATTGAAGTTTGCATGCGAAAGTAGAGAGTTTTTGAGACCATCCTTCCTTCCTGCACCTTCTTCTAGGGTTTTTGGATTGGGAAAGAGTTGAGAAAGCCAGGAGTATTAGCAAATAGCACAACCGTGTTATAATAATACCAAATTCCAAATTGGAATTGGAAATTGGAATAGAAATAGGAATTGGAATTTACGGTAGATAAAATTAATAATATTATTATTATTACTATTTTTTAATGTTCCACACCCACTTCTTAGATGAAATTAATTAATTAATCGAATAAATAAATAAATTGTAGTTATAGATTGCTAGGCAGATATTGAACATGAGATATAACTTCTCTTTTAACTTGATCTCTTATTAATTTTCCAGTTGCTTTCAATGGAAATGACTTCTTCCATATAACAAAAGTTTTGGGTATTTTAAACCTGCGAAAAAAAAAAAAAAAAAAAAAGGCTGTATGAATACCTATAGCATAAAGAATGAGAAGATGAAATAAAAAGGCTGAAAGTAAGCATTGATATAGTATAAAGATTAATAGAAATACCCAGTTAAGTTATACTTTTTACAGAAGTGCTGGAGGATCTCACTGGATAAGCAAAATTCAATGTTCTTTGCTGAGATATGAGATCCCAAATCAATCCATTTCCAATTGTCTCTTATTTGAATACAAGCAACAACCATCTCCGTAAATCGAGTGTCTGGAAGTCCAACAACAACTACACTAGATACTTCTGGATGTTGTGATATTATGGCTTCCACCTGAGTCACAAAATAAGTACATATTTCAATAAAGGTTTATTTTTATTTTTAATTATTATTATTAAAAAAATACACTTCAATAAAGTTCAGAGACCATAAACTAATTCATAGACCAGTTTAGGATAATCATAACATTATCTTATACGTATGTATGTTGGAATGTATTTCTTTCATGATTAGAATTAGTGCAATCGTGCAATCATCAATGTCGACAAAAACGGATGAATTTAAAATTACTCTCTATGGTGGGATAAAATTTCTAACTACATGATTTTTTTTTGTTATTATAGGGCCAACCACTGATTTTATTCTATATTACTGTTATTGTGTCTTAAGTACTGTATTCCTTGATTATTTTATAATTTGTTGTAACTCTTAGTTGAGATTAATTTGCTATAAAAAGGAAATTCTAAATTTTTAAAATGATTTACTTTGTATAGAATTACTATGACCACACCAGAAATAAATGCTTTCTGTGTTGTGATGCTTTGTTGAACTAAGAAAGGTCGTCACATATAATTATATTCTACAATTGGCGAGTGATATCCTCCACACTTAGTCATATAATTTGTAATAGTCCTTTTCATTTTGTTGTGGTAACATTTTTTTTTATTATTTTTTTTTTCCTTTTTTTTTTTGTGAAAAGATTGAAGAGAAGAGCCATTTTTGGCTCTATGTCGATGCAGTCAGTTTTGCGATGGTATGTAAAATGATGGAACATACAAAATAGTGTTTTATAGGGATGCTATTTTACAAAGGATGCATGTGCTGAGCATGTTGACATTAACGGAAAGTGAAAAGGAAAAAGAAAGTTGTTAGTACGTGAGATTGTTGCCCAAAACTCTGATGCGTCAAAGCATATTGGTAAATTAGACCTAGAGAGAGAATGAATAGGTCTTATGGATATTAATTTGCAACAAAGTAACTTTTTGAATTACAATTAAACTCTTTAAAATTTAGCTAGTTAGTCATGATTACTGTGATTTGGATTTTTGTTTATATCCGTTAGGTTTTGAATTCTTTCAACATAACCGCAATATTCATGCATAAAATATAGTATGGACACAATATTTTCATGTGAAAGACCATAAACAGGGAAAAACCAGAGACGTAGTCCAATGAGGGATAATTCACTGAATTGTTGATCTTGCTCAACTATATATCTGTCATCCATTAGCTATTTTATTCATCGATTCTCGATGGCATTACAGATTGGCTTGTAATCGGTTGCATTGGATCTAACTTAATACTTTAACCTAGAACAAGAGTCAATAATTACCACTATGTCATAGTTATTAAATTGGTCGTGCTGATGTTTAGATGTTGTGTTGAATTACAATTTTATTGTCTTTTTTTAACAATTTGATTACATTCTCTTAACTGAATTTTCACTTTTTTGTTTGTTTTCTAGGAAGGATAAATAATAAGTTGACAATGAAACGAACGGTTAGTGAAGTGGAAAAAGTGAGTGAACAAAATACCGAAGCTTCAACTTCAAAATCATCCCAACCACCGCCGAAGAAGAGACGAGGTCCGACACGATGCAAGAATGTCATAGACGCGAAAACCTTATTACCTTTAAGGTACATATATATATATAGATCATCTTATATAGTTTACATAATTAGACTATATTCAATATGAAGGAGAAAAAAGGATTTCTATCTTTATTTTTGTACTAAACATCTACAATTGTTAATTTTTGTTTAGGGTTAATAAGTTTGGACAGCCGATCGGTCCTGAGAGTGGTACATATACTAATTATCTGGGAACACTTGCCCGGAAGTGTGAATTAGCTCCTTTGTGCTACAAAACTTGGTGGGAGATGCCTAAACGGTTGAAGTAGGATATGTGGAACATTGTAAAGGTAAAACCCTTCAATAACATTAAAATAATTTTTATGGAAAAAGTGGACTAACATACAACAATTATCACATTTTCAGGGAAAATATGATATGGGAATCATGACAAAACAGTGGACAATATCCTCCATCAGAAAAAAAATGGAGGGGGTACAAGTGTGAGTTGAAAAATGAATACTACTCAGTTAGGGATACAGATGAAGAAAGATTGGGAATTTTTGGTTAGGCATTGGGGTACGCCTATGGCGAAGGTAATCCTCCATCTATCACAATGTTTTTTGAAGTCAATGAGTTGAATTTATAGTTTATCTGCTTTCAGTCATTATTTTAGGTGGAATGTTCTTTACTCAAAGAACTTTTACTTTTTCTCACTTTTTGTAGGAGGTCAGCAAAAAAAATAAAGAACGTTGTGGGAAGCAAACAATGATGCATACTACAGGGACAAAAAGCTTTGCACGTGTTTCTACCGAGGTTAGTTGAAGTTTTTATGGAAAATATAAATTATTTCAATTCTTATGTCGTTGAATGATTATAAATGTTAGTGGTAAATAATATATATCACAATGTATTCTTTTATAGATTGAGGAAGATGAAGGTATTCAGCTTTCTCGTGCAGATTTATTCATCCGCACAGATGTAAATAAGGATGGCAAAGCTACTGATGCTGCTGCTTCGGAGATGATTGTAAGTTTTCATGCTTCCATTTTGCAAAAAGGGGGTCATGTGCCTTGAAGTGACCAATTTTTAAACTCTTTATGCTGTATTAGGGGGTCACGTGCCTTGAAGTGGCCAATTTTTAAATCATCGGCCCGTGTGGAGGCAATTTACTTTCTTGTATTTGTTGAAAAGCATGGGAGTATGGGATCATTGTATGTGGAGGCTTCTTGTTGATTGATTTGTGTTGTGGAAAAGAAGTATTTGCTATTTGTTGTTTGTTGTTTGTATTAATTTGTTACTCATATATTGTTGCAATAGTCTTTTGAATGTAGAAACCTTCAAATATTATAAACAAGCTATGTAAAGGCCACTAAACACTTGTTCATAATCTATAAAGTTCTTGTTGTGATTTTTTTTTTTTTTTTTCAGTTCTGCAAAGATTTCCATCTTCAAAAAGCTTTGCATGTTGATAAAAATTGTTTCAGATTCAATCTCTACAGATTTCTAATCCAATTCAGATTTCTTTTTCTTTTTTTTTTTTCAGTTCTGAAAAGATTTCCATCTTCAAAAAGCTTGGCATGTTGATAAAAATTGTTTCAGATTCAATTTCTGCAGATTTCTATTTCAATTCTGATTCTTTTTTTTTTTTTTTTTCAGTTCTGAAAAGATTTCCATCTTCAAAAAGCTTGGCATGTTGATAAAAATTGTTTCAAATTCAATCCCTGCAGATTTCTAATCCAATTCAGATTTTTTTTTTTTTTTCTTTTTTTTTTGCAGTTCTGAAAAGATTTCCATCTTGAAAAAACTTGGCATGTTGGTAAAAATTATTTCAGATTCAATCTCCGCTGATTTCTAATCCAATTCAAATTCTTTTTTTTTTTTCAGTTCAGAAAAGATTTCCATCTTCAAAAAGCTTGGCATGTTGAAAAAAATTGTTTCAGATTCAATCTCTGCAGATTTCTAATCCAATTCAGATTCTTTTTTTTTTTTTTTTTCAGTTCTGAAAAGATTTCCATCTTCAAAAAGCTTGGCATGTTGATAAAAATTGTTTCAAATTCAATCTCTGCAGATTTCTAATCCAATTCAGATTCATTTTTTTTTTTTTTTTTTTCAGTTCTGAAAAGATTTCCATCTTGAAAAAACTTGGCGTGTTGGTAAAAATTATTTCAGATTCAATCTCCGCTGATTTCTAATCCAATTCAAATTCTTTTTTTTTTTTTTCAGTTCAAAAAAGATTTCCATCTTCAAAAAGCTTGGCATGTTGAAAAAAATTGTTTCAGATTCAATCTCTACAGATTTCTAATCCAATTCAAATTCTTTTTTTTTTTTTTTTTTTCAGTTCTGAAAAGATTTCCATCTTCAAAAAACTTGGCATGTTGGTAAAAATTGTTTCAGATTCAATCTCTGCAGATTTCTAATCCAATTCAGATTCTTTTTTTCTTTTTTTCCAGTTCTGAAAAGATTTCCATCTTCAAAAAGCTTGGCATGTTGATAAAAATTGTTTCAGATTCAATCTCTGCCGATTTCTAATCCAATTCAGATTCTTTTTTTTTTTTTTTTTTTTTTTTCAACTCTGAAAAGATTTCCATCTTCAAAAAACTTGGCATGTTGGTAAAAATTGTTTCAGATTCAATATCTGCAGATTTCTATTCCAATTCAGATTCTTTTTTTTTTTTTTTCTTTTTTTCAGTTCTGAAAAGATTTCCATCTTCAAAAAGCTTGGCATGTTGAGAAAAATTGTTTCAGATTCAATCTCTGCAGATTTCTTATCCAATTCAGATTCTTTTTTTTTTTTTTTTTTTTTTTTCAGTTCTAAAAAGATTTCCATCTTCAAAAAGCTTGGCATGTTGACAAAAATTGTTTCAGAATCAATCTCTGCAGATTTCTAATCCAATTCAGATTCTTTTTTTTCTTTTTTTGTCAGTTATGAAAAGATTTCCGTCTTCAACAAACTTGGCATGTTGGTAAAAATTGTTTCAGATTCAATCTCTGTAGATTTCTTATCCAATTCAGATTCTTTTTTTTTTTTTTTTGGCAGTTCTAAATAGATTTCCATCTTCAAAAAGCTTGGCATGTTGATAAAAATTGTTTCAGATTCAATATCTACAGATTTCTATTCCAATTCAGATTCTTTTTTTTTTTTTTTCAGTTCTGAAAAGATTTCCATCTTCAAAAAACTTGGTATGTTGGTAAAAATTGTTTCAGATTCAATCTCTGCAGATTTCTAATCCAATTCAGATTCTTTTTCTTTTTTTTTCCAGTTTTGAAAAGATTTCCATCTTCAAAAAGCTTGGCATGTTGATAAAAATTGTTTTAGATTCAATCTCTGCAGATTTCTAATCCAATTCAGATTCTTTTTTTTTTTTTTTTTTTCAGTTCTGAAAAGATTTCCATCTTCAAAATGCTTGGCATGTTGATAAAAATTGTTTTAGATTCAATCTCTGCAGATTTCTAATCAAATTCAGATTCTTTTTTTTTTTTTTCAGTTCTGAAAAGATTTCCATCTTCAAAAAGCTTGGCATGAAAATCAAATTAGTAGTTCTCACACACACACACATACACACAAATCATGATCACTGAGAAATTATGCTGATTTACATCAAAGTATACCAAACTTAAAGGCAGAAAGAAACATAATTACAGAAGAGGTTACACATCTCCTTAGTAAATTACTCAAATTCAATTTCACCCTTCACCTTTTTTTCCTTCTTTCTATGGATAGTGAGTGTTTGGAAGAATAAATGCATCCAGATAAATTATTCTGCTAACAATTTTACTTGCTTTTTCTTCTATTGCATTATACATATCTTATACTAATTATTTTCTACTGAATCAGGAAGCACATTTGGTTTCTACATTTTTGCCCATTTGAGGACAGAAAATGCTTAGGAAACTACAAATGATAACTTAGGGAAAAAGTAAAATATAATATTAGGTGCAAAAACTTTTGCCTAGTGAATCTAATTAAATAACAGACATAGAATTATGTGTCCTATAATAATAATTGCACACCAAGTCTTTTGTCCAATTACCTATATAAGATTCTTCAATTAGATGGGACATTCAAATTTAGACACAAACAACAGTACTCATAAGTTGGCAATTTCTTTAATCATATTGTATACTTTAGCACAATATCTGGTACCTCAAAAGACTACTAATTTGATTTTTCCTCTTCTATAACGACTCGATTACATTTTTTATGAAGTGTATACTTTAGCACAATGTATTAAAAGAACTACTAATTTGATAAAAATTTGATTTTTTTTTTCTCTATTTACTTCATTTAAATCCTTTTGTTTTTGTCATGAAAGCTTAGGTATATATATATATATATATATATATATATATATATATATATATATATTATACATGCACATGTATATTTAAGCATTACATGTTCATAGCTTGTTACGATTTCAGTTCTTTTGTACTTTATTTAGAATCTAGGGTTTTCAATTCTGGATGTTTCATAGTAGTATGTCATGGTAGATCAAACTTTTTTTTTTTTTGGGTAGGAAAACATAAGAGAACTTCAAAAAAGTTACTCTGACTCGCCTATTGGCAGCTCCAATGATTTGTTCTCCATTGTGAGGAGAGAAGAGAGAACTGGTCGTGTGCGGATGCTTGGCTTCGGGCCTACACCAAGCGATGTTTGGGGGCCCTCTCCTAGTAAAGCTGAACTGATTAATAATGCTAAAAAATCTCAAGAGGAGGCATGTGCTACACGTGTAGAGTTGCAGGAGACGATTTCAAAAATGCAAGCCGACTATGACAACAAGTTGGAAAATTTACGAGCCAACTACGACGACAAGTTGGAAAATTTACAACAACAGGTGGCTATGCTAATGCAGATGCAATAACAAAATTGTAGTGGACAGGTATATTTATTATTAGTTTTACTCTTTACTAAATATATGTTTACTTATGCCAAGATTTCATGTATTTTGTTTTGTTATTTTGAAGGATTCTGATTCTTTAAATGCTCCTCCTAGAGTATCCCCAAATCCATTTTCTAGTCGTGATGCCAATTCAGTTAAGGTTATGAACTTTTAATTTCTCTTATATATATGTTAAATTTTCAATTATTATAATGTGCGCTTGATGAATTTATAAAAAATGTAGGGTAATTCAAATCAAATGGGCAAGAAGACTTGTTGAAGTTGAAGATGGGGTCGTGGCTGTGCTTTTTGAATTTCTTTCGCCTTGGATGGGTTCTTTTTGAAAAACTTGTACTACATTTGTTAAAAATTCTTAATTCTTTTTTTGTGACATTTAGTACCTTTATCTAGACAATTTGGATGGTATTTTCATATTGGCAGGTTAACTTGTGGTTGTATTAGTATACATTTTTTACTGGCTTAACTTGTAGTGGTATTAGTAGTCAATTTTGATGGTATTTTTCATGTTGGCAAGGTTAACTTGTGGTTGTTTGGTTGGTATTTTTATATTGACTTGTGTTAGGATGCATTTAGTAGCCGTGAAGAAATTTTTTTCCAAAAACAATAATGGGAAAAAAAAAGTGTAAATAATTTTACCAATGCTCTTTTAAGAAACGTTGGCATAGGGAAAAAATATTAAAAAAAAAAAATTCAAATAACCCTTTACCAGCACTTTTCCAAAAAGCGCTAGCATAGGGGAAAAAAAAATATTAAAAAAAAAAATTCAAATAACCCTTTACCAGCGCTTTTTGGAAAAGCGTTGGTAAAGGCCTACCGACACTGGATTTACCAGCGCTTTTGAAGAAGCGCTGGTAAATTACCAGCGCTTTTTAAGGTTTTTACCAACGCTTTTGAGCACTGGTAAAAACCAAAACTGTTGTAGTGTCAACTTCAGATGATCAACCTTCTGCATTGTTTGCTACTATTTATTAATAATCGACTTTTCATGCGTATAGACTCTTCATACTAGTGATCGTCTTCTCATGCCTTTTGCTACTTGAATCGTTATTTTTGTAGAATCTTGGCCTTCGAATTTTCTTCCGAGGCAACGTATTTTGCTTCGGCACTCTTCTGTGTCTTAAGCCATTTATAAAATTTATACTTCGGCTCTAGTGAGTCCGAGGTAATTTTTTGTGTAACTTTCATTCTTCAGCATTCACCTATGCCTTAGCAGATGAAAATTTAACCTTTGAATTCTTTGATTCTGAGGTAATTTATTTTATCCTCGGCACTGCTTTGTACTTTAGAGGATTTTATATGAAAATTTTGACCATCGACTTTCTTTGAGTTCGAGGTAATTTTCATGTCATTTTGTTCCGTGGCAGTTGTGTGCCTTAGAGGAATTTTGAGGTCCTCAGACTCTTGAAGTTTGAAGGCGAATTTTATTCCTCGGCAGCTCTTTGAGCCTTAGAGGAATTTTTTGATACCGTTGGACTCTTGAGGTCCTAAGATTATTATTTCACAACAAATGTTTATGCCTTAGAGGAAGTTTGAGGTCATCGGACTCTTGAAATCCGAAGACGAATTTTATTCCTCAGCAACTCTTTGTGCTTTAAATGAATTTTTTGATACCGTCGAACTCTTGAAGTCTGAAGATTATTATTTTACGAAAATTTTTTATGCCTTAAAGGAACTTTGAGGTCCTCGGACTCTTGAGATCCAAAGGCGAATTTTATTCCTCTGCAGCTTTTTGTGCCTTAGAGGAATTCTTTGATACATTCAGACCTTTGAGGTCTGAGGACTTAAAAATGAGAGGAGGCCACGAAAAAGAGTAACCGTGACTAGGTAGTCCTCCATTCATATTGGACCAAGTATGTTAGGCTTTTTGTTTGTAAAAAATGGGGGAAAGATTATTGCAAAAAGTGTCCTTTGGACACAGTGCTTGGAGATGGCTCGTGGGCCTCCTCTGCTACCAATGGGCCCTCTTTGCAATTGTTTCCTAATATAAAGGAGTCGATAAAGTCGTACTTTATAGATGTGAGACAACATATATATTTTTGTTTTTATCAGCCAAAGAAAGAAAAAGAGAGAATAAATTTTCTTTTCTTAATCTCTCTTTAGGGCTGCTTATCTCATTACAGAAGGTGTTGCGCTCATTAAGGAAAGAAAAATATATCTCGTTTTTGTTTTTTCTTTACTATATGTCACTTGAAAAGCTGGGACAATATGCCTTGATGGTGGCGATGTAGGTAATTTACATGAAAGTGTATTCCTCGGCACTATTTTGTGCCTTGGAGGATTTTACATGAAAATTTAACCTTCAACTTCTTTCAATTCGAGGTAATTTATTTTGATCCTCAACACTGCTCTGTACTTTAGAGGATTTGATATGAAAATTTTAACCGTCGACTCCTTTAAGTTCGAGGTAATTTATTTTGATTCGTGGCATTTTTGTGCCTTAGAGGAATTTTGAGGTCCTCGGACTCTTGAGGTCCGAAGATGAATTTTATTCCTCAGCAGCTCGTTATGCCTTAGAGGATTTTATATGAAAATTTGAACCATCAACTCCTTTGAGTTCGAGGTAATTTTCATGTAATTTTATTCCTCGGCAACTCTTTGTACCTTAGAGGAAATTTGAAGTCCTCGGACTCTTGAGGTTCGAAGACGAATTTTATTCCTCGGCAGCTCTTTGTGCCTTAAAGGAATTTTGAGGTCCTCAGACTCTTGAGGTCCGAAGACAAATTTTATTCCTCAGCAGCTCTTTGTGCCTTAGAGGAAATTTGAAATCCTCGGACTCTTGAGATCCGAAGACGAATTTTATTCCTCGACAACTCTTTGTGCCTTAGAGGAAATTTGAAGTCCTTGGACTCTTGAGGTCCGAAGATGATTTTATTCCTTAGCAGCTCTTTGTGCTTTAGAGGATTTTATATGAAAATTTTAATCGTCGACTCCTTTGAGTTCGAGGTAATTTTCATGTAATTTTAATTCTCGGCAGCTCCTTGTGCCTTAGCGAAAATTTAAAATCCTCGGACTCTTGAGGTTCGAAGATGATTTTATTCCTCGGTAGCTTTTTGTGCCTTAGAGGAATTTTGAGGTCCGAAGACTCTTGAGGTCCGAAGATGAATTTTATTCCTCACCAACTCTTTGTGCCTTAGAGGATTTTATATGAAAATTTTAACCGTCGACACCTTTGAGTTCGAGGTAATTTTCATGTAATTTTATTCCTCGGCACTTCTTTGTGCCTTAGAGGAAATTTGAAGTCCTCGGACTCTTGAGGTCCGAAGATGATTTTATTCATCGGTAGGCCTTTGTGCGTTAGAGGAATTTTGAGGTTCTCAGACCCTTGAGATTCGAAGATGAATTTTATTCCTCAATAGTTCTTTGTGCCTTAGAGGAAATTTGAAATCCTCGAACTCTTGAGATCCGAAGACGAATTTTATTTCTCAACAGCTCTTTGTGCCTTAGAGAAAATTTGAAGTCCTTGAACTCTTGAGGTCCAAAGATGAATTTTATTCCTCGGCAGTTCTTTGTGACTTAAAGGAAATTTGAAATCCTTGGACTCTTGAGGTCCGAAGATGAATTTTATTCCTCGGCAGCTCTTTGTGCCTTAGAAAAAGTTTGAAATCCTCAGACTCATGAGGTCTGAAGATGAATTTTATTGCTTGGTAGCTCCTTGTGCCTTAGAGGAAATGTGAAGTCCTTGGACTTTTAAGGTCCGAAGATGATTTTATTCCTCAGCAGCTCTTTGTGCCTTAAAGGATTTTATATAAAAAATTTAACCGTCGACTCATTTGAGTTCGAGGTAATTTTCATGTAATTTTATTCCTCGACAAGTCTTTATGCTTTAGAAGAAATTTAAAGTCCTCGGACTCTTAAGGTCCGAAGATGATTTTATTCCTCGGCAGCTCTTTGTGCCTTAGAGGAATTTTGAGGTCCTCGGACTTTTGAGATCTGAAGACAAATTTTATTCCTCAGCAGCTCTTTGTGCTTTAGAGAAAATTTGAGGTCCTCGGACTTTTAAGGTCCAAAGATGAATTTTATTCCTCTTTGCAGCTCAATATGCTTTAGAGGAAATTTGAAATCCTCGGACTCTTGAGGTCCGAAGATGAATTTTATTCCTCAGTAGCTCTTTGTGCCTTATAGGAAATTTGAAATCCTCGAACTCTTGAGATCCGGAGACGAATTTTATTCCTCGACAGCTCTTTGTGCCTTAGAGGAAGTTTAAAGTTCTCGAACTCTTGAGGTCCGAAGATGAATTTTATTCCTTGGCAGCTCCTTGTGCCTTAGAGGAAATTTGAAGTCCTCGGACTCTTGAGGTCCGAAGATGAATTTTATTCCTCAGCAGCTCTTTGTGCCTTAGAGGAAGTTTGAAATCCTCGGACTCTTAAGGTCTAAAGATGAATTTTATTCCTCAACGGCTCCTTGTGCCTTAGAGGAAATTTGAAGTCCGCAAACTCTTGAGGTCCAAAGATGATTTTATTCCTCAACAGCTTTTTGTGCCTTAGAGGATTTTATATGAAAATTTTAACCGTCGGCTCCTTTGAGTTCAAGGTCATTTTCATGTAATTTTATTCCTCGGCAGCTCTTTGTGCCTTAGAGGAAATTTAAAGTCTTCAAACTCTTGAGATTCGAAGATGATTTTATTCCTCTGCAGCTCTTTGTGCCTTAGAGAAATTTCTAGGTCCTCAGACTCTTGAGGTCCGAAGACGAATTTTATTCCTCAGCAGTTCTTTGTGCCTTAGAGGAAATTTGAGGTCCTCGGACTATTGAGGTCGAAAGATGAATTTTATTTCTCTTTGCAGCTCAATATGCCTTAGAGGAAATTTGAAGTCCTCGGACTCTTGAGGTCCGAAGATGAATTTTATTCCTCAGCATCTCTTTATGCCTTAGAGAATTTTATATGAAAATTTTAACCGTCGACTCCTTTTAATTCGAGGTAATTTTCATGTAATTTTATTCCTCGGCAGCTCTTTGTGCCTTGGAGGAAATTTGAAGTCCTCGAACTCTTGAGGTTCAAAGATGATTTTATTCCTCTTTGCAACTCGTTGTGCCTTAGAGAAAATTTTGTTTTTTGGTACCTACAAACTCTTGAGGTCCGAGACTTTTTGTGGTTAGGCTTGCCTCCACTTTAATTAGAAATTCTAATTAGCAACAAGTATTTACTCGTTCTTGTTTATCACATACATTAAAATTGACTAAGTCATAAATCTTTTTGTATCATGATTGCATTATGTGTGAAAATATATATATATACATATATATATAGTTTTTAATGAAGATTTAACTATAAAAATCAAGTTGGGAAACTTATCTGAGACCCATCACCACATTGTGTCTGAAAAGGCTTGTGTTGAAATCCCATATGTCTGTATGTGTTCTGGAACATAATTGAAACACGTTCGGTTGGGTCGTTTGAGAATCCCACCGGCTAGATCTATGTGTAGATCCTTCTCTCGTG